GTTTCACATTTTGGAATGTTTCTTTAGATTTTACTGATAGAATATCTGTAAACTGAAAATTGCACAAAAAGTTTCTGGGTTTTAGGTTTTGAGATAAGGGGCTGTAATACAGTTTTCAAAATATACTAGTATTTTATTTAGTCTCTTGGAGAGAGGGTTTCACTTTGTAGTCCACTTTGAACTTGCTATGATCCTCCTGCTTCAAGCCTCTCAAGTGCTGGCATTCCAGACCTTTTGCCGCTACACCCAGCCTCCTCAAAATTACCAGTATTTTAATCATTCATTCATTCATTCATTCATTCATTCATTCATTCATCTGTTACGGGGTCTCACTACACAGCTGCGACTTGGACTCAGTGATCCTCCTGTCTCAGCTTCCCCAGCTCTGGGATTACAGGCATATACCACCACACCCATTTTCAGTGGCCAGCTCAGTGTGGGCTAGGCACGGCATGTAGTACCTGGAATCAAACGAACCTGGGTCCTTGCAGTTGCAGGTGCTTAGACTGCCGAGCTATCTCCCTAGCCCCCAAATCACCAGAATTTTTGAACAAACACATGTCTTAGTTCCTGGTAGGTGGTTGGGTTTTTTTTTTTTTTTTTTTTTGGTCCCCGGTGTTTAATTAAAGACCTTGTGCTTGCCAGGCAGGTGCTTATGCTGCTAAGCTGTCTCCCCAGGCCCTCTACTAGATATTTTTTAAATTGGTGTCTGTTCTTTTTCTTTTTATTTTTTTTAATGTATTTAGTCCAGGGCCTACAGGGTCTCACTACATAGATCGGACTTGTAGTGATTCTCCTGTTTCCACCCTCCCAAGTGCTGTGATTACAGGCAGGCACCACCATGCCCAGTCTCAATTGCTGGCTTAGTGTGCCCCGGGGAAGGGACCGGCATGACTTATTTTTTATCATGTGTTAATGCCTTTATTCTTATGAATAATTTTGTCTAGTTAAGAAACTGATTCTGGGGGCCACGAGATAGCTCAGCAGGCCAGCCCTACTCACCCCAGGGCAGCTTGAGCTGGCCATCAAAAAAAAAAAAAAAACAACCATAAAAGAGATACTGATTTTGTTATTTTTACAGCACTGGATGTGAACTCAGAGGACTCTACCACTGAGGTACAGCTCCAGGCCCTTTTATTTTTTGAAATAAAGTTTTACTAAGCTGCTTGGGTGGGACTTGTGATCCTTCTTCAGCCTTCATCAATATTTGCTCTGGGATTGCCAGCATAGCCTGTTGCTCCTGACTGCTTTATTATTTGTGATATGATCTTCCTTCTCTCTTTGTAGTGCTAGGGATCAAATCCAGGACCCCATACATGCTAGGCAAGTGTCAAACTCCCAGCCCTTCTTCAGCCAGTATGTCTAAAACTGAATTAATCTTTTACGCTTTCCTTTTTCGTCACTCTCCACTTGACTAAACCAGAAACTGAGACATCTCTTAATCTTTGATCTTCCCTTACCCTCTGCACATCTGGTCAGTCACTCAATCCTGTTCTGTCTCCTAATGTTTGTTACATCAACTTTTTTTTTTTTTTTTTTTTTGCAGAACTGAGGATTGAACTCAGGCCCTTGCGCTTGCCAGGGAAGCGCTTATTCACTGAGCCATCTCCCCGACCCCCTAACTTACTTTTCTCTCTTCCTACTACAGCTGTTTGATTCAAGTTGTTTTTTCTCACCTCAGTTTTGCTGCTATAGTCTGCTCTCTGGTCTTCCTTTCAGCCTGTCACATGGCATTGAATGTTATTGTAGAAAGGCAATCCCATGATGTGACACTACTGTGTAGCTTTAAATATCAGTGTATTTTCCTGTAGCCTGTAAGGGTCTCAGTGTGACCCTAAAAGGCCTTTTCTAACCGAGGGCATGATAGTGCTCTCTTGGAATCCCAGCACTCTGGGAGACTAAGCAATTTAGTGATTCAACCAAGTCCCTTTTCATTTTTATTTATTTATTTATTTTATTTATGTGTGTGTGTGTGCGTGTGTATGGCCAGCTCAGCCCACCAGGGGGCGGGGCTGGCTGGCCTGTGGTGCTGGGGGATTGAACCGTGGTCGCTGTGCTTTGCTAAACTTGTTCTAATTAGGTGCTTTAGACCACTGAGCCATCTCACCAGCCCCCCCCCCTCAAGTCCCTTTTCAGAATAAAAAGTGAAAGAGAAAGGAGGGGGAGCTAGTGATATGGTTTAGTGCAGAGGCCTTAGTAGCATCAGAAAGGTCTTGTTCCAGGCATATTTCTGGCCTCCCTGGTAGCTTTGTTTTTATTAGGACACATTCCTAGTAGATAAATTCATTGTGAGGCACTCCCCTCCTCTGCTCTCCCTCTCACCTGTGGGGACCTGGCCAAGATACCCAACTGTGTATGAGGGTGATGGCGAAAGGATGAAGGAAGAAACAGACAAATGTAATGCATAAAGGGGGCCTGGGAGGTCAGTGCCTCAGGATGGGCAGAGACCAAGACCTTCCATGCCAGCCACTATTTATTGAGTGTGTGCAGTGATAAGAAGGGTTAGAAGATTCCAGGTCAGGAAGACTCAGAGGTTGGTGACTTAGCAGGCAAAGGCTAATCCTGGGAGGACTCAAGAGGGCAGAGATGATTTTGTACTGGGGAAGATCTTGCCCTGGAGTGACTTTTTAATCTTAGCAGGAAAAGATAGCCCATCTCTAGAGTTGAAGGGAAGTCAGGAAAAGGTGATATGATAATCCCAAACCTCCATTTAGCCCTTGTGAATTAATTTGTGGTCCCCACACCTCCCTGTGGATCTGCCTCTTGTCCTTGGTGAATAAGGGAGTAGTATCTCCCAGATTCTGACTTGCATATCGTGCTCCATTTACTGCAGGTACTCTAGGCCATCACCACCCTGTCTTTTCTGCAAACCTAAGGCCCTTCCCGTGGGACTTTGGAGATCTTAGTTTGGATAGTACCTCCCTTCCCTCATGTTCTTTGTGACTGATAGAGAACCCTTCACCTAAATAAAGAACCATTTTTAACACAATCTTTTTAGCGTCTATTTTGCACTGTACAAATATCTACATAATTTTAATATAATTATCTTTTGTGGAGGTGCTAGGGATTGAATGTGTGTTGGCACCTCTCCCATCATTTGCTGTTTTGTTTCCCATCTTTTTCCCAAGGAACTCAAGTGCCTATAATATATCTGTTCATGTGAAACAAGGGTTTCTTGGTCAAGTTTGGGAAATCATCTTGAAAATTCATAATATAAATTAGCATGTTAAAGATGCCAAGAAATTCTTCTGGGCTTTCTGCTAGATGCTAGGTATATGTGATGTTCAGCAAAGTAGTTCTGGAGCTTACCAAATCCTGTACTCATTTTAAATGCTATTGTACAACACCTGCTTTATTTAGAACTGGTCATTATCATACTTTTCTTCCTAAAACTGTGCCTTGGTCTTCTGTGACCCCTATATTCTTTTGATTCTCTTGCTGTTTCTTTCTTTTTTCTTTTAAAGCCAATTCAGAGCTTCCTTTTGCAGGTAGTTCGTGCCTGAGTTTCATGCATTCCTGAATCACAAATGATTAATTCAAAAATGTAGATCATTCTCTTGCTCAAAAGCCTTCATGGATTTCCTGTGTACATTAAGATTTGAGGAGACCTCTTCTGCCTTCCCCTTTATCTTTAGTCCAGGACTAGGACTTCGTTTTCCAGTCACGATGTTTGTCCACTTTATAATATTTTTCTCTGGTGTCCTTTATCCACACCACTTCTTTGTTGTACTTTTTCCTTGATTCTTTTTTCTTGTGTGTGTGGTACTGGGGATAGAATTTAGGACCTTGTGCTTGCCAGGCAGGCACTTATGCTGCTGAGCTATCTCCCTGCCCCTTTTTCCTTGTTTCTTATTTTCTTTTCTTTCCTTTCCTTTTTTTTTTTTTGTATTATAGGGAAGGGCCTACAGGATGTTCAGGGTCTCACTACTAGATCAGACTCGTAGTGATCTGCCTGTTTATATGCTCCCAAGAGCTGGGATTACAGGCGTGTGCCACCATGCCCAGTCTCAGTGGCCCTCTCTGTGCGTCCTGGGGGCAGGCCTTGGAATAGAGCCCAGGTGCCCTGCGCCTGCTTGCAGGCACTTTAATCTGCTGAGCTATTTGGCCAGCTCTTTTTCTTTTTTTTCTTTTCTTATTTTAGCCTCTTTCCTTGATTCTTAACCTGTGTATTTTTATTGAAATTAAATATAAGCAGATGATTATGATGTAATCTCTTCCTTTGTAGGTTGTTCCTTTCATATCTTGGAGTGAGTCTTGGTTGTTTTTATAGTCCCAGAATTTCTGGTACACAATTAATAAATCTAATTAAAAATATATATGAATAACATAATAAATTTCTGCTCTGTAATGTTTGCTACGTAAATGAGATCTTGTGTAAATTCATTCCCACCTGTTTTCCTTCAGCTGCCCCCCTCCTCTCAAGTTCCTCAATTGCAGGTTGTAGAAAGGGATTTTCAGGACTCCAGTTGTTTGTTGTTGTTGTTTTGGTTTTTTTCTCAGTACTGGGGATTGAACTCAGGACCTTGCTCTTGCCAGGCAAGCACTCATTCTAATGAGCTATCTCCCCGTTCCACCCAATTGTTGAGGTTAGGAGGGACAGTTGCTAATTTTAAATGTTGATGATGCTTTATGGCAGTATTAAGAATGATGAAGCATCATTTCAGCATGCAGAGATAGCCAAATTGGGAGTATTTCTGCAGAACTTTGTGGAATATACTCATGAAACTGTAATGGTTGCTTCTTTCCTGTAAATCCTGATCTTAAAATGTTACTCAAAAGGGCCAGAGAAATAGCTCAGCAATGAAAGTGCCTGCCTGGCCAGGACAAGGTCTTGAGTCGAATGCCTGTTACCAAAAAAAGAAAAAGTTATTCGGGTTGCTTGAAGAGACCAAACAGCAGTAAGCTACATAGCTCCATTGTAAATTGAGGCGTGACAGCATGTTTTCAGTAAATATGTATTGATTATAGTCATTGTAATAATTCTGAAATGCACTTTTTAACTTTTTAAAATATCTTTTTGTAGCCTCAAGGAATAGGTTCTCCTAGTGTTTATCATGCGGTTATCGTCATCTTTTTGGAGTTTTTTGCTTGGGGACTATTGACGGCACCCACCTTGGTGGTAAGTAATCTTTAACTTATTTACCACTGACTCTGCAGTTTCTTTTTCTCTGGTTTTGGTCTTTGTTTTTTCCTGTTCCATGGTTAATGCCACCAAAATTGTCAGTTCTTCAGTAATTTTCTGTGTTTTATTGCTTTAGTTGTCTGTTCTACCCTTCTCCTTACTGAAAAGCAAGTGGGATGGTGGTGGGAGTTTCTGGTTTTGAATGTGTCATCTGACTGTTCCAGCAGAAGGTCAGTCACCACTTGGGTAGTGTAAAGAGATTTTTAAACTAACAGGCTTAGGAAAGGTGATATGTGACTTACATCATGTGGCAAACTTATTTTGAGATTCATTTGTAGTTACATTTCCAAACAAGAAATTTCATTGATGCTAAGAATCTAGAAAGCTTAAAGCTGGTTTTTACTTAATTTTCTAAGATTTGGAACCTTAGAAAAGTCCTCTGCAAACCAGACAACTGAGATAGCTAGTTTTCTCCTATCAGTGTAGATGAGGGGAGTGTAGTAAGGGAAAGAATAGTAGAAGTTCATCATATCTTGAAAGGAAGAAGTACAGCTTTATCAACTCCAAGAAGAGAATTTTAAAAGTAATAACACTTCATGTGTTGGTGAGCATGATCATTGTTTTTTGTTTTTTTTTTTTAATGATCATTGTTTTTTTTTTTTTTTAATTTTTATTTATTTATTTTTTTGGCGGAACTGGGGATTGAACTCAGGCCGTTGTGCTTGCCAGAGAAGCACTTATTCCACTGAGCCATCTCTCCAGCCCCAATCATTGTTATTTAAAAGCTTTTTTACAAAGGGTTTTTCATAAACTGGATGACTAAGATTGAATCACATTTACAATCCATATTTCTTGGCATATTTACCTAGTTACAGAATTGTTACTTTACATATAAAATAACAGTTATGAATACATAGGGCATATTCATGAATACTGTTAAAAAATTCAGAAGAAAAAAATTTAAATAAATGCCATTATTTTTAATAATGAAATACCAGTTTGAGGTGAGCTATATATAGCTCAATGTGAAAGTTCTGGGTTCCATTCTTAGTACCGCAAACAGAATAATAACTCTTATTCTGAATGTATTTGATGGAGATCCTTTCCTTTTTTGCGGAACCTGGGATTGAACTCAGGCCCTTGTGCTTGTCAGGGAAGCGCTTATTCTACTGAGCTATCTCCCTGGCCCAGATCGTTTCCTTTTAAAAAGGTAACTGCTCTTTGACCTGTAATGGGTCATTAATTCTACATAAATGAATTTTCAAATAAAATTTATGATGTGGGCTTACAAATTAACCAGTTTTTTAGTTTACTAATTTCTGATGGAAATCTTTCCAAAATTAATTTACATATTTCCTGCCTTACTAATCCGAATACAGTGATTTAGAACTTCCTCACATGGTGCAAAATCATTGTAACACTCATAATTTCTTGTATTGTTATAACCTCCTGTAAAGGACTCCTTAGGTTCTGTAATAACTTTGTGGTCTCATGATTGTTTATGAGCTTCCCTAATGTTGTCGTGTGCTTGTTTATAACCTGCTGCAGGTAACATGAATCTGTCTGGTGGATTAGTACTCCTGTGGTTTCAGGTTTTTGAACAGTACACTCTCTTTTAATTCTCACAAGTCCTTTACTTTAGGAATGTTAAGAAACCTGATTACAACTACTGTGCAGTATTCTACTGAGCCATCTCCCCAGCCCAACTGTGCAGTATCGATATGTCAACCTAGGCTTGCTTCACTATTGGTGCTCAGGGTTTTGGGGAGTACCGGTAGTTAACAGGTTCATAGTCGTATTTTATTTTTTTAAATATGGAACGCTTCACGAATTTGCGTGCCATCCTTGCGCAGGGGCCATGCTAATCTTCTCTGTATCGTTCCAATTTTAGTATATGTGCTGCCAAAGCGAGCACCATAGTCGTATTTTAGACAGATGAAGTTCTTGGACTGCTCAACCATTAGCACCTTTTCCAAAGGCTTTTATAATGTTTCTATAATTTATCATTGGGATTTGAAGTGTATACCTCCTTGAAAATTTTGTGTTTGATTTTGTTCCATAGGTATGTCAACTTTTTGTGTAACTTGGAGTAGGTCCCCCGCCAGTTGACAAAGAGATACTTATTTTTAGAGTAAAGAAGGAGAGTTACATTTTTATTACACTTGGAAAAACTTTATCCTTAAAATATTTTGTATCATTTTTTGTTGGCTGATAGTGCTAAGGAGCAAATCTAGAGCCTTATATATACTAGGCAAGCACTCTAAGCTCTACCTCTACCTCTGATTCCCCCACCTTCTTTTTGTGCTTTTACTTTAAAGATAACTAATTTTTCCCCCCTCATTAAACCCAGGGCCTTCCTACAGAGCTATCTTCCCAGCTCTTTTTCATTTTTTATTTTGAGACAGGTCCATCCCAGACTGGACTCAAATTTGTATTCCTCTTGCCTCAGCCTCCCGATGTACTGGGAGTACAGGCTCAAATACTGGATTCTGATTAGGAAAATGGAAGGTGCTAAATTTGTGGGAACTGACTGCCTTTCTTGGAATAACTGCTATAACATTGTTGCCAATTTGTTTTCTATTTTGTTACAGTAGTTACTCTCAGTTCGATGAGTTACCTTTAATAAGGCTGCTTGTAATACCATGTTCATAATTCTTTGGGGGTTTTTTTTGGTTTTTTTTTTTTTTTTTTTTTTTTTTTTTACTATTTATTTACTTGAGACAGAATCTTGCTGTATAGTTCAGGCTGGCCTTGAGTTTGTTATGTAGCCCAGGCTGGGCTAGCTCTTGTGGGATCCTCCTGCTTCAGCCTCCTGTGTGCTGGGATTACAAGCATGTGCCATGCTCCCTCACTTTTTTTTTTTTTTTTTTTTTAAGATCAAGGATCTTCTCAAAACCAAGTCCAAATCTCAGAGCTTTAGTTTTGCCTGAGTACTATTGGTTCTCTGAATCTGTGGGTTCTATATACTCAGATTCAAGCAACTGCAGATTGAAAATACTTTTATTTAGTATTTACATTAGGTACTATGTAACTTTAAAACGATTTACTTTAAGGTATATAGAAGATTTGTGTAGGTTATCTGCAGGTTTATTTCAGGTAATTTGACCTTTGGTTATTCAGACAGCACATGTGTTAAGCATCACTAGGGGAAATTGTGCATGGGGTACAAACACGTACATGCCTGGCTTTGTGTATAGCATGTGTGTGTTGCCTTTTGTAACAAAGTCCATGGAGCGCCTTTGCAAGATACAAAGCAGTATAGAAATGCGTAAGACGCGCAAGTTCTCTACAACCCACCCCCATTTCTGGGCACGATAAAATCCTCGTGGTGGTCTTTATCTTTTCCCTTAAGATGGGTTGGCCAGCAGGATGACTGTGAGCCAGAGGTGAGAAGCTGCAGTGCTGGGAGTTTCTCCAGCGTACCTGGCCTTAGAGCCGTCCTGCTGAAGTCAGACTCAGCGCTGAAGCCTGGGCGGGCGCATGATTTTTTTTTTTTTTTTAAAAGAAGTGATTCTACTGTATACTAAGTATAAATCATTAACTAAGAACAGTATATAAAGTGTAGGCTCTTATGAAAAGTTTTATTTATTTTGAGGCTTTTTAGAAATTAATATCATTGGCAGTATCTTTGTTTTGGACTCATTACTGCCTTCCCCAGGGGGTTGAGAGGTGAAAAAAGGCAGTTTTCGGGGTAACAGGAGGCATGGAGGGATGGCATTTTTCACTTTCTTGAAAGTCTTTTTTTTTTGAGGTACTGGGGATGGAACTCTGGACCTGCTTGCCAGGCAGTTGCTTATGCCACTGAGCTATATCCCTAACCCTTGTTAACTTTTAAAAGAGACCTGTGAGTCTAGAAATAGCTGATGTTGGTAGTTCGAGCTGCTGCGTGCACAGCCCATGCTAGGAGACCCTGAAATCCACGATAATCTCTTCTGCTGGTGTGCACCCTTTACTAGAAATAGTCCTAAAGCATTTAATGTTTTAGGAATTATTCTCAAAAATTTTAAAGTTCTTAAAAATTTTAAGATAAAATTTCTTAGAAAATAGTTTTTCATATTCAAATCTAAGACTGTAACAGATCCAACATCTTTACAGTTGAACTGTTGTCTTTGCAGTTAAAATAGTTCTAAATTATATGGCTTTAGAGGAGAAATTGCTGGAGACAGGACTTTCTAAAGCACTGAGGACAGATTGATTGGGATTAAAGAGATTTCTTGGCAAAGCAAGACCTTGGTCATATGATTTAACAAATTGTAAACATCTTGAAGGTATTCATCATGCTTTTTTTTTTTTTTTTCTTGTACTGGGAGTCAAACACAAGACTTTAGGCTGGATATTATAAAAAATATCCCCTTAGTAACTGGGAAAAAAAATAGATGACTATGAAAGATTTTTAAATACCAGTTTCAGGAATTGAAAATCTTTTCTGTTAGAACAAGGTGACAAACCTGGCTGGAGGATCAGTTCCTTTTCACAAACTTTTATTTTTTCCACAAGCCATTTTTATAAATACAATGTTATAGGCACTCAGGTACATTTATATATTTATATATAATCTGTGACTGTTGCTGTCCTAAAGGGGCAGAGTTGAGTACTTGAACTGAGACTTGCTTGCAAGACTAGGAAAAGCAAGATTTACTGTCTGTTGATCCTTTCTTCATTTTAAAAATTTTATTTACTCATTTATTTGAGGCAAGACTTGGCTTTGTAATGTAGGCAGGCCTAAAAGCCACTATAATCCAGACTTTGAACCATGGCAGTCTTCCTGTCTCAGCCTCCTTGTAGGGCTGTAGTGCTGAGCCTGGCTGCAGATATTTCCTCTAGATCCTTTGGTCTGTGTTATAGCTAACAGCAAAGTACCTCAGTCTTAACACTATTGAAATTTTGAACCAGATTTTTGCTTATTATGGGGGCTGACATATGCCTTGTGCGCACTCAGCTTCTTATTCAGTATCAGTAAGATCTTCCTCCACAGGTAACTCTTGGTTGAGAGCACTAATTCAGAGAGTATTATAAATATCATATAAATATGATTTTTCTCATGTTACGATTTTCTTTTACCAACATTTCATTTCTGATTTTTTTCTTGGTGGTACTGGGATTGAACCCAGATCCTTGAACATACTAGGCAAATGCTTAACTGTTTTAAGTACACACCTAGCCCTCTAATTTTGTTTATTTTTACATAATATGAGTACATTTTGTTGAAATTCTAGTTTTTAGCAGAAAAGTAATTTAAAGAGGGAGCTCTAACCCTGATAAAGGGTTCTTCTCATTTTTCTCACTCTTACTGCCATTCTTTATAATGTTTGCTGTAATTCAGTCCTTTTTTTTTTTTTTTTTTAATACTTTGCCATTTATTTATTTACTTATTTCTACCTCTTTTTTTTTTTTGGTGGCGGAACCGGGAATTGAACTCAGGTCCTTGCACTTGCCAGGAAAGTGCTTATTCCACTGAGTCATCTCCCCGGCCCCCTGTAATTCAGTCTTAGTTTATAATGTTGCTATATTGAGACTGGACATGGTAGCACGCCTGTAATCTCAGTGCTTGGGAGGCTGAAAACAGGAGAATCAGTATGAGTCCAGTCTAGGTAGTGAGACCTTGTACTAAATGCATAAAACAACTAAATAAAAAATATGTTGCTCTAGAATAGTATGCATAAAGCCCCTGCTCTATATGCAGTACAAAATAGTACTTGCTAATTTTTTTTTTCCAGTTGTCTTTCCCTTCAGTTATTCTTTCAACCATCAAAAGAATAACTATTGGTTATTTCCAGTAGTTTGTTCACTTGCTGCTTGTTGATGAAATTGATGCCATGTAGTTTGAGGACAGGAAATGGTAGAATAACTCATGTATTTTATAGATTGGGATAGTTTTCTTGATAGTATCTTTCTACACTTACTTTGGTATTCAGATTTCCCTGTTCTCCTAGTCTTATGCCCTAGATGAAGGAGAGCTCCCACATGGGCAGCGACATTGCAGAATACAAAGGTGCAGACCTTAGAGCCTCACCGAGGCTGGTTTCTGCTTTCTTACTTTCTGTGTGATCTTGGACGATATATTAAACTTGTGTTTGCATTATTTTTGACAGAATTATTGAGAAATTAAATGATAATATATATAAAGCTCCCAATTTAGCACCCTGTAACATAGTAAATGCCATATAAATATTAGGTATTGTTAGCCTTTCTTCATATGCATGCATAGTGTCATACATACAAGTCTGAAAATTTGTATGAAGTAAATTTCAGTTGTATTAAAGGATATGAGAGGAAAATGTAGAAATTTTATTGAGACTAGAAGGTAGCATGTCATTTTTATTTTGGTTTTTATTCTTTAGGTATTACATGAAACCTTCCCTAAACACACATTTCTGATGAATGGCTTAATTCAAGGAGTAAAGGTGGGTTATGCATGTTTATATGTGTATATTTATGTGTAATTCTGCCAGTATTATTTTTTTAATTTATTTTTTTAAATTTTATGTGTTTAGTACAGAGTCTGCCGGGTCTCACTACACAGATTGGACTCATAGTAATCCTCCTGTTTTCAGCCTTCCAAGTGCTGGGATTGCAGGCATCTGCCACCACACCCTATCTCAATCACTGTCTCAGTGAGCCCTGGGGGTAGGGCCTGCACAGCATGTGGGGGATCAAACCCCAGCTGCTGTGTTCTGCCTAAACAGGCGCTTTAGACAACTGAGCTATCTGGCCAGCCCTCTGCCAGTATTATTAAGTTAACTGAGTAATCCACTAAATGTCCACTTTTATAATTACACTGCAATGTGGGGGATTATATAACTACTACCTTGGGCTAACTGGGTTTTAAATATGATTTGATTCAAATATTGTCAGCTGTGTATAATAAATTACATATTTCTGTTTTACATTTACATTATTCCAGATGTCTCCAGGCTTTATAAACTAACCCTCAGAATATAGATTGGAAAGAAGAAAACTTCTTTCCAAAAAAACCCATAAATACAAATTTGTATTAGCACGGTAAAGTGTTAGTTATTAAATACTAACACTTTTGTTTTTTTAAGACAGGAGCTGTGCAGTTGAGGCTGGCCTTGAGCTCACTTTGTAGCCTGCCTAGGCTGGTCTCGAACTCAGTGATCCTCCTGCCTCAGCCTCTAAGTGCTGAGATACACAGTTTTTATAAACAGATCTGATATTATTAAAAAAAAAATAAGTAGCTTATCAGTATAACATGGGCAATGAGCACATGATACTCTTTCTAAAATTACTAATGGAGGGGCCAGGGAGATGACTCAGTAGAATAAGCACTTCCCTGGCAAGCACACGGGCCTGAGTTCAATTCCTGGTTCCACCAAGAAAAAAAACAAACAAAATTGCTAATGGAGAGTTACTGATACAGAATTCATTAGAGCATTTCATATTTAATGCCAAGGCAAGAGCCTTGCAGATAATTCTAGCCTGAGGAAACTTTTTTTTTTTTTTTTTTTTAGGGAAGGGTCTACAGGGTGTTCAGGGTCTCACTACTGAATTGGACTCGTAGTGATCTGCCTGTTTACAGCCTCCCAAAAGCTGGGGTTACAGGCACGAGCCACCATGCCCAGTCTCAATTGCCATCTCAGTGCAACCTGGGGGCCGGCATGGCAGGCCTGGGGATCAAACCTCTGGCCCCTGCACCTGCTTGCAGGCGCTTTAATCCGCTGAGCTCTTTGGCCGGCCTGGAAACTTTTAAGTTATATATACATATAAATGTTATTGAATCGAGTTTGATGATTTATTTAGAAGCAAACTTATTTCAGCGTATGACAGTAAATTTACTTTTGGCTCCTGTATATTTAGCACACTTTCTTTAAATCCCATTTTAGGGTCTGTTGTCATTCCTCAGCGCTCCACTTATTGGTGCTCTCTCCGATGTTTGGGGCCGGAAATCCTTCTTGCTGCTCACAGTGTTTTTCACATGTGCCCCGATTCCTTTAATGAAGATCAGCCCGTGGTACGTACGTAGTCAGATTAGAGCAATCTAATACAATTTTCTATTGATCACTTTCTTAACATTCTCATGTAATCCCATAAACTAGCTGGGCGGCCATCTGTTAATTGTTTTCTTAATATTTATTTCTTGAATTTTTTCTTGCCTATTTATCTATATCTAGTTTGGTTTTTATTCTAATTTTATTTTTTAACACAGGTAAGGTCCCTAAAAATAGTGCCTAATAAAGGTTTAAAGCTACATGCTACTGTTGGAAACATGTAGACTAATGCCTTCCTGCTTTTGGATTTCATAACCCAAATTTCAAAACAGTATTTTAGGGACTGGGTACAACTTTTTATTTTCCCTAAGTAAATAAATTAAAAATATAAATTAATTTTATCATTGTTTATATTAATTAGGAGTAGGTTTAGGGATATCAGTAAAGTTCCAACTCAGTTGCCTAAAACCAAGGCAGTTTATTGCTCTCTGCACAGAGAGTCTGGGGTTGAGTAGTCCAGGCTGGGATGCCAGGTGCAGTGAGCTGGACATCGGCCTTGCTGCTCCGCCATCCTCAGCTGTGCCTTGTGGTCTGGAAATGTGCTCAAGCAGAGGGGTGCTGAGGAAGCCACACCAATTTCTTTTAGGGAGACTGCATAGAATTCCCATTTGGCCCCTGTGAATCTTTCTGGTCGGATTTTAGGCATTTATTGCTCAGAGTTCAAGACTAGGCTTTTGGCCATTCTGATCAAAATTAGGAGAAAAGAGGAAAGCTCCAAAAGAATGCATGTCTCAAAAAAAAAAAAAAAGCATGTCTCATAGAAAGAGTAATAGTTTTATTCTTTGATGTTATTTCTGCTACGTCAGTGAATATTAATCAGTTCACTTCACAGATGTACTACACTGTATTTCCACTGTGTCCAGAAAAGCGTAGGAAGTACAGGAGGCAAGATCTTCTGATGGGTTAAAGATCTTGCAGTTGAAATTTTACCAAAGGAGGTTAGGACATGAGCAAAGACTTTGCTGTGGAAAAAAAAGTGTTCAAGTTTTTTTTTTTTTTTTTTTTAAGTCATAAACGGTGGTGGATGATATTTTGAAATTTCATTGTGATTACATGTGATTTTCAAAAAACTAAACATCATTAAAATACAACTTCTTATTTGGAATCATCTATAGTAAAATGTGGTTTGTTTTTTAAAATGTCTTCTATTCATTCAGTCTTTGTAGTGACTGTTGTCAATTGTATGAATATTGCCATGCATGTTTATTCTGTTGAAGAGTGAGTTTAATTTGCCAACATTTGAAGAACTAAAGATAATTTACAGGAAACATCAAGTTTCTACATGTAGGCTCAAAATAAATATGAAGTAACTTGTTCAACTTTGTTGAATTTTGCTTTTTGTGTAGTACTGTGGTGCAAAATAGGAATAAATGAGGTATAATGAACTTTATTTTGGTTATGTTATTTAGTAGAGACAGCAAAGGCACTTAACACTTGAATAGTTGAGAAAAAGATTAACTTGAATACATTATCTTCTTTTAAATGCTGTATTCCTGATTGAAGGAAAAGACCTCTTCATGTACCCATTTTCATGATATCTGTGACTTAGGATTTATAGTAGGGTCAGTCTGTGAACTGTCTTAGAAAGCTCTTGACTAAAATGAACTTCTTATCCTAATTAACTAATAGAAATGAAGGGAAGTCCAAGTAATGGCAATTGTTCTAACATTTCTTGTCAATTGTCTTTTGTTAGGTGGTACTTTGCTGTTATCTCTGTTTCTGGGGTTTTTGCAGTTACTTTCTCCGTGGTATTTGCATATGTAGCAGATATAACCCAAGAACATGAAAGAAGTATGGCTTATGGATTGGTATGTATGTTTATCTTACACCTTCATGATTGAGAAATACCTTGTTTAAAAGTATCTGTTACAAGAATGTAAAACTTTGCTTTACAAGATTTATTTTTTGCATAAAAATATATGTCACACGTCAGAATTGAACGTGAAGTACATTTTACCTTACCGAGTTTTAGTTTTTGTGTTGGAAGGAACTGAACCCATGACCTTGAACATGCAAGTGCTCTACCAAAGAGATTATACCCTCAGCCTGTAGCAAATCCTAAAACCAGGAATTATTTACTGTGCTATCAGTTTATAAATTGCAATACATATTTACTACCTTAGTCTAAAATTCAACTAGTAACACCCAACTCAGGGTTCAGAATATCTTTTGTATGGCTTCCTGGGCTATATACAATCGCTGTCCCCTTGTGTTTTTTTGCCTCTGTGTGTGCCTTTCAAAAAAGTGAAACGTAGTCTTAGTAGACTGGGGCCAGAGGTAATAATGTTCCAACACCCAGAACACTTCTTTGGTAAGTAAGTGGCAGTGCAGTGTGTTAGGAGTCTACCATGTGCTCAGCGACATGCACGTAATTCCCTAGCCAGCTGGAAGCAGCTCAGTGGTGAGTTTTCTGCAAAGACAGGACAAGCATATCATGATAAAGGACCAAATGTTGAATTGGTTTGAATCTTAAAATTTCTAAGCAAGTAATTTTTTGATTCAGAGAACGTAACAACACAGAATCCTAAAATTAGGAAAATACTGGGGAGAAAATTATGCAAAGTAATGAGTTCGTTTATAAACTCAGAACATTAAATGATAAAAGGCCGGTGATAGCTAGGAGTTTCAAAACGTTTTACTGAGGTATAGTTTAGATGTCACGAGATTCATCCATTTTGTGTATAGCTTAGTGAATCTTAGTTAATTTATGAAGTTGTAGAACCATCACAGTAATACAGTTTTGAGTTTTTGTGTGTTAAAATTTTTTGCCCCTGACCAAAGCTTTTTAATTAAGTGTTCATTGTGGAAGTTTCTTGTGTTAAAGTCATATTCTGTAGATGACCAGTTAAATTCAGAAATGGTATGGATGCAGTAAAGCAAGAGAAAGTGATCTTTGTGATTCTTTCCATCTGACTAGAAAGAAATGGCCACAAAGTAGAAGGAATTGCGGAGCAAGGACTCTGTTGGTCTGTAATTGTTGGTCCTGTGCACCCTGCTTTGCAGATTGATCTCTGTGAATGCCCTTGGCTACTTAACTGACTTTTTAGTGAAAACCACTGCCCTTCCTCATGGGCATGCCAGAGCTCTGCTCAGGCTCTGGTCTCTGTGAAGCCCCCTGGAGGGCTATCATAACAGAATACCACAAGCCAGTTGTAGAAATGTCCATGAGCCCAGAGAGTACCTTCAGGCCCATTTACCATTCTTCTCTTCACCTCTCCAGGCAGCCAACAATCTACGTTCTGCCTCTGTAGTTTCATCTTTAAGAAATGTCATGTTGCTGGGTACGGTGGCACATTGGGAGGCTGAGGCAGGAGTACTGCAGCAAGCTGGAGACCAGCCTGCACGAAAAATGAGACCCTGTCTCAAAAGGACCCCCCCCCATAAGTGCCCTGTAAATGAAATAAGACAAAATCTAATCTTTTATATCTAGCTGCTTTTATTTAGTATAATCTTTTTTGAAATTTCTTCATGTTGATACCAGGAATGGTTTTTGGTTTTTTATTGCTGTGTAGTATTTGACTCACTGAATTTACATTTTGTTTGTGCATCTGATTAAGGGCATTTGGGTTGATAGCACACTGTTTTAAGAATTCTGTGTATTTGTTCAGATAATTGACCTTTGTAAACTCAGTTGAATCTACTGAATATTTGTAGGCACTGTTCAGTAGGCTAGTTTTGTCTGGAGTTCCTGTGTTCTCTACCTGTCTTTGGTACTTTCATTCTTTTGTCAGGCTTGCTGGAACTTACTGAAGTTTTAGAAATGTTCTCTGTGCCTGCCATTTGTGATCTTACCATCTAACCAAGAACTTTTGTACCAGGGCCTAATGTTATTCTTTTATTTTTGGGTGGACTGTGTTGTGTTTCACCACCAGCTTGGTGTGAAACACCCCAGCTAAATTGCCCCTCCAACCCCCCTCCCTCTGAGTAGCTCAGACCCAGCCTCTTCCAACATGCCCTGCCCACAGGTTAATGCTGTTATCAGTCAGGAGACTCTCAAAGTCTTTATTTTAGCCATAGCTGAGTAGCTATCTGAACAGTTTTTAGGGTCCTTTCTTGAAGAGAACAAAGAATTTGTGGTGGTATCCAGACAACTAGAATAGCTGACAGGGAGTGAATATTTGAGTAGTACTCTAGGCCCCAGCTTTCCTCAGCTAAATATATATATATATATATATATATATATATTTTTTTTTTTCTTTTCTAAAATCTGTTTTACATACAATTTTTTTTTATGAGCAGAATATATTTATTGAGAGAAAGAAAAGCTCCTGTCCAAGAGAGGACCCTACATATAAATTTGCCAACAGGATTTATTTGCACAACAGGCTTCAGGGTTTAAAAGAAAGTTGAACCTGCCTGATATACTGGCATCCACCTGTAATCCTGGCACTTGGAGGCTGAGGCAGGAGGATTGCTGTGAGTTTGAGGTCAGCTTGCACTACATAGCGAGACACTGTCTCAAAGAAAGTTGGAGTCCATTGTCCTTCAAGGCTAGTACATATATTTTGGATAACTATTTAATCCTTTCATCTTCTTGCAAAACAGAGTACAAGAAAAGTGGCACAGGTAAAAAGGGACGCTGCAATGGCAGCTCCGACATAAACAGGATTATGAAAGGAGGCAGCAAAAGTCCAAGTAACCAAGGGATCCTAATTATCTCTTCTCTGTCCTTAATTGGTTGCAGGTTTCAGCAACATTTGCTGCAAGTTTAGTCACCAGCCCTGCAATTGGAGCTTACCTCGGACGAGTGTATGGAGACAGCTTAGTGGTGGTCCTAGCCACAGCAATCGCTTTGCTTGATATTTGCTTTATTCTTGTTGCTGTGCCCGAGTCATTGCCTGAGAAGATGCGGCCAGCATCATGGGGAGCGCCTATTTCCTGGGAACAGGCTGACCCTTTTGCTGTAAGTTGGGGTTTTTTTGTGTTTCCAACATTTTTGAAATACTTTTCAGAATAGTTTGAGGAAATGAAATAAATTTTGAAAGGTAACTAATTGTCTAAGTACAGTACCAAAGGGTGTAAGAGCTTATGTCAATCTTTTTCTCGTTCTAGTCTTTAAAAAAAGTGGGCCAAGACTCCATAGTGCTGCTCATCTGCATCACGGTGTTCCTCTCCTACCTACCAGAGGCGGGCCAGTATTCCAGCTTCTTTCTGTACCTCAGACAGGTGAAGCCCTGTTCTAACAAACTCTTTTCTCCTGTATTTAGGACCATAAAGAAAGTATTTCTCTTGGGAGAGCTATAATCAGAAGAGCATGTTAGACTTAGTACAGCAGCCTACAGACTCAGCCCCTTATTCAGAGTGCCTCACTCCTTCTGTAATGAGATTTTTGGCTTAGACAGAACTTCCTTATCAGGATAAGTAGTTTGAATTTGTTGCTTCCTAGGGTACTAGGATGCCTTAACCCAACCTACTCATCTCTAGTTTCTCTTTCACTTAGAAGCTATATAAGGAGGGCAGCTAGCCAGAATGAGAGCACACATTTTCTCCTCAGCACTGGACATGGGTGGAAATCAAACGTTTCACAGATGCCTATGCAAAGCCAGATGCTATGGTGTTTCTCTGAAATGATTCTGAACGCTTGATAGCTGTCTCCAATGTAGTATAACCAAATAAAAGAGAACACAGAAATAGGTACTTTCAGTGTGTTGACTCATTGTATTTCATCTAAAGAATTCTTTTTTAATGAATTAATTAAATGAGTTAACTGTTAAAACTGCTTATAGATTTTTTTCTGTTTTGGGTGGGTTTTTTGGAGGGTTCATTTAATGTACCAGTAGTTGCATCAATATGCTATTTATTTAATGCATTTTTCTTCACTAATTTTACTTGTTCTGAAAACCTAGATAATGAAATTTTCACCAGAAAGTGTTGCAGCATTCATAGCAGTCCTTGGCATTCTTTCCATTATTGCACAGGTGAGTATCCTTTTTGGTAGACAGAATGCCAGAGTGACCCTGACTGACCATCCAAACAGGACCTCATAGATTGATAGTGAAGTCTTAAGTTTCATTAAGTTTATACTGTACTTAACCAGTCGTAGCAGCAGTAAGCACCTAGCAGTAACACTGCGTAGAGAAAAGTTGGAAGTGTTTTACAGGTGATTGGTCCTGTGTTCAGTAAATACCATGTGGCATGCAGGATACAGAACAGAAAGTCTCTGAGCACACACAATCCTGTGGGCAGATGTATGAATAAATGAGAAGGGTTTAGGTGGATCTGCATCAACAGATCCTGCAGCAGCAGAGTCCAGTGCTGGCTAGGATGGACAGGAAGAAGCAACACTTCGGCCAGCATTGCTGGCCCAGCAGCCCTGGGAGGCACAAATGCCTAAAGGAGGAGGGACCTTAAATGACCACTTGGGCTTTGATGCTTAAATAGGAGCTGTTTTAAGAGGATGGTCACATTAAAAGTTGGCCTTTAAATACAAGTGAAAAGGAGAGTATAATCTGAACCTAAATAGTGATAATTACATTTTTATGTCATGATTTACCATAATACTGTGGGTAGCCTCAAAAATATATTGTTGCACAGGACTTACTCTCTATTGAGGTAATGGACCAAAGGCGTGTGATGTGACATGTACATATATATAATCAGCTGTGAAGTGGGTGCATCCGAGGTAGCTATAGGGAAGTGGATACCTCGTTGAGACCACAATGCTAAATGAAATAAATCAGACACAAACTTAGAAACTTTGACCTATAAAAATTTCTTTTAAAAAGCCAGGTGGGATTGCACATGCCTGTAATCCCTGCACAGGGGAGGCTGAGGCAGGCTGTTTGCTCTGAGTTTACCCAGCCTGGGCTACATAGTGAGAACCTGACTCAAAAAACAAACCAAAAAAAAAGCCACTTACACACAAAGAAAAAAAAAGGTTGGTATTATGTAACATCTCAATCATCAGTACACTTTATAAGCCTATTTAAACGTCTAATTGATCCTCAGAAATGAACACAAAGTCTTACTTTCGTTTTACCTTTCTAACTTAATCTGGAGCTCTATCAGCAGGACACTTCTTGTCTTTGCCTCAGCTTCCCAAGTAGCCATTTCATCTCCTTACATGCCTTGGAGCCGTGAGCTCACACACATTTTCAGCTACTGCTGCAAAACCAAGTGTAGACAAGTAGTTGTGGTCCTGTTATAGAGTAAAATTGCTATTTTAGGTTACCTTTCTTTTTAAAAACTTTGTGGTAAGCTTGTTTTGTTGTCATTTTTTTTTTTTCTCCTCAGACCATAGTCTTAAGTTTACTTATGAGGTCAATTGGAAATAAGAACACCATTTTACTGGGCCTGGGATTTCAGATACTACAACTGGCGTGGTATGGATTTGGTTCAGAACCTTGGTAGGTATAATAACTTTTAAGGTTCATTTTATTAATTTTGATATTTGCCATTTTACTTCTCAAGGCATAGACTTTGTTTTGCACTGTTATTCCTTCATAATGTGTGTGACACTATTTCCACTAGATCATCTAGAGCAGTTTCAGGATGGAAAAGTAACATTTTATAGCTAAGCAACTGGCTAAATTTTTACATGATGTTATTGAGTTTTTGCATTTCTAAGGAGCATTTGGTCTAGATCACTTTATCACTTGGAAAAAGCATGAAATTCCACAGCAACAGGGCATGAAAGTTGGCATTATTTCCTTTTTTGTGTATCATCACTGCTAACAAATGACAAGTGGCCCGAGGTCCACTTGTTTTGTTTTGGCTTCATGCTCTGTCTCAACTTTTCTTGCAGTCTGGTTTTCTGCAGGGAGCTGATGGTAATGTTGACAGTGTCTTGATTCCTACACACACTGTTGCAGACAGGTGGCAACAGACCTGGACCTCATGGTTCGTACTTGTGTTCCAGACAGCCCGCTGCAGTACCTTGTCTCTGGACACGGCGATGAGTAACATCAGGAATACGTTTTGCTGGGCAAATTTTCCCCGGTCTGTTAACAGAGAGGTGTTTGTAGCCTTACATGATCTAAAACGCTTCTTTTAAACACCAAGCCAAGAGCATCTGGTTTAGTTATTTTTTGCAATTTAAAGATTAGACCAAATCAGTGATGTCTTTATGCTGAATCAGAAGTCTGTGGGACTTTACTGGAAAACTTAAAAAGGTTTTTTTCTTTAGTTTTTTGTGGGGCTGGGGATCATCCCCAGGAACTTATGCATGCAAGGCAGGAACTCAGCCACATCCCCAGCCCTTGTGAGTGTACTATGGTTAGAAGCATTTTGTTGTTTCTTTACCTGTATTACATTTTTCTTAATCTCACCACTTCCTCCACAAATAATGCCCATGACATTTTAACAGTTTGACATGATACTCCCAATTTTATGTTAGAAATTCACACTATTGGGGCCGGGGAGATGGCTCAGTGGAATAAGCACTTCCCTGGCAAGCACAAGGGCCTGAGTTCAATCCCTGGTTCCACCAAAAAAATAAAATAAATAAAATAAAATAATGATAAAAATTCACACTATTCTTGTAAGTTGTTGTTTTTTTTTTGAGAATGGCAGGTTAGACTTTGAGGTGACTCACCAAGTCACCTAGCAAGGAACAGAGCCAGCATAGTTCCCCTCCCACAGCTGTCTTATAGTGAGCGCGACTTGATTGGAAGCACGGAGCCTGACGGCTATCGTGGAAAAAAGTTTTCATTTCTGTTCTGCTTCTTTGATTACAGGATGATGTGGGCTGCTGGGGCAGTAGCAGCCATGTCTAGCATTACCTTTCCAGCTGTGAGCGCACTGGTTTCCCGAACTGCTGATGCTGATCAACAGGGTGAGTTGGCAGGAGCCAGTGATAACTACTTCACAGCACAGAATATTATACTCCTGCTTTCTCTGTGCCATGCACAAGTACTGAAATACGCATCTTCAAGGTAGAGAATCGTAAAGTTACTATCAGTCGTAAGCAAGAAAAGCACATTCTACAGTTTTATCATCCAGTGCCCTTGTCTTTCACTTGGAGTATGTGGCCCTGTCTGTTCTTTTGAAAGGCAATCTAGTAAAATGTCTGCTGTTAGACAGGATAGTTTCGGATGCAGTCATAGTCCTTTTGTCAAAACCTTAAACACAAGTCTTACAATTTTGTGACAGGAACATTTAATTATTGGAACTCTTAACAGAGGAGGCATAAGTCTGAAAAAGTAGGGTTTTTTTAGTCACAAGGAAAACAGGTATTGCAAAAGAATGTCACAGTGGTTATTAGCAAATCAGGAAGACCAAAAAGCAAGTTGCTTTTTAAGCTGGAGAAGATCCCAGAGATAGAAACAAACTCAACAGTACTATCTATATTTGACTAAAAGAAGTATTTAGCAGTCTCTTGGGAAGTTAACGGTGTTAACAGTTGCACTTGTGAACTCATGGCTGACCTTTACCCAAGGATGTTTTTAGTTCTTTGTTCAGCCTATACATAGATGTATGTGTGAACTCCTGTTTGCATAACAGCATATTAGGTAGAGCTGATGGCCTCCAAGTAATTTGTAATGCCATTGTCTGTGTAAAGCCTTGATTTGTTGTTGCTTGCACATTTGTACCTGTTTTTAAGAGTAGGAGAAAAAATACAGATAGTATACTAAATGACTTCTGCAAACAATATAGGTGTTGTTCAAGGAATGATAACAGGAATTCGAGGATTGTGCAATGGCTTGGGGCCAGCCCTTTATGGATTCATTTTCTACATATTCCACGTGGAACTTAAAGAACTGCCAATAACAGGAACAGACCTGGGGACAAACACAAGCCCTCAGCACCACTTTGAACAGGTAATCTTCACTTGTATAAAACTGCAGTTCATGATGATGTTTACTGTCATGAAATTACTTTATTTCAGAACTGGGGACTGAACTCAGGCCCTTGCCCTGGCCAGGCAAGCACTTATTCTACTGAGCTATCTCTCCGGCCCCTCATGAAATTATTTTAAATAAAACACTTAGAAACCAGCCCATAAACACAAAATGGGGTTCCATCCAACAGTGTATGTTAATTCTCTGTACAGCTATGTGTTTTGTCTGAGTTAACAGTTCCTATTTAGTTGCTTCTGTGCAGAATGTAAGTTATGTGTGTCTTCGTTAGCTTGTTTGGGTTTTTTGTAACTGAAAGTATCAGTGCCAAACAAGAGTGATCATTTTAGTGACTGCAGCACCAACACATCAGTTTTCTGGCTTACTCAAACCAGCTAAGCCTACTTATAAGTAAAAAACAATGAATGTGTTAACACACCATTAAAGCCAGAAATACAAGTTTTTTGCCAAGAGTGAATAATAATTTGGGGCTAAGTATTGTGCTTTGCTTTTTTTTTTAACTTTCAGTCAGTTCACTTTTTTAATTTTATTTTGTGGTGCTGGGGATCAAACTCAAGACCTTGCGCTTGACACAGGTGTTTCTAGCTATCTCTCCGACCCTTAGAATTGACAGCTTGAAATTTTCTTATAAAATGTTGGGTTTCAGTGTGTGTATTTTTATCACATCCATTCCCCATTCCCTTCTTGTTCTCATAATCACTCACAAATGGAGTCATAGGTTCCATGTCAGAGAGTGTGTGGTGCTTGTCTTTGAGTCGGACTTATTTTCAGTCAACATGATGGTCTCCATTGTCCTGCAAATGACAATTTTCTTTACCCATTCTTCTGTTGATGGACACCTAGGCTGGTTTCTTATCTTGGCTGTTGTGAATTATGTCACAGTAAACATGGGTGTGCAGGTATCCTTTGGAATATGGGTGACTTCCCTACAAGTGCATTCCAATTAGTGGAATAGCTCTTAACTCTCAGTGGTTATCCTGGCTTAGAGCATGCTGTTTTGCCACTGTGGATTTTTTTTTTAACATAATTCGATATTATAGTGCTTCCAGTCTTGCTTTTTCTCTCAGGATTGCTTGTGGCATTCTGCATCTTTTGTGTTCAATCCAAGTTTTAGAATTTGTTTCTAATCATGTAGAGGATATTGGTATTTTGATGTAGAGACCGCATTGAATCTGTAGATCACTTTTGGTAACAAGACCTTCTAAACAAGGTAATTGTGTGGATCTTATGGACATGGGCGACCTTATCTTCTGATCAGTTTTTTTCACAGCTCTGAATTTTTGTTGTACCAGTCTTTCAGTTCCTTTGTTAGATCCCTGGGTATTTTATTTGAAGCTATTATGAATGGAACTGTTTTAGCTGACTATTGGTATAGGGGTGTTGAATTTTTGAAATGATTTTACATCTTATAGGAACATAATTTCCTTTTATTAAGGAAATAATTTGAGTTTACTAGTGAAATTTGTGCCATATGCTTCCTGTTAGTGTTATCAAATTAAGGCATTTAGAACCTGGTTTCATACTTTGTGCTAAGTGATGATACAGTATTTCTGTGCTATGTTGCTAATTCTTTAAAATTTTCTCATGTTTTTGGTATTTTTATTATTAGTGCTTACTAATTTTATTTTCTTAAGAGTAGGAAAAGTTATAGGGGAATAGCTCCTGCGATTCAGAAGGGGTCTAGAATAGGTTGCTGCCTATTAATTTTATAAAGTAAGTTCTGATGTATGTATTTTGATCATACTCATCCCCCCATTCCTTTCCTGTTTGACTAGTAAGTCTCTAGTTTTATCATCTTTTTTTAGATTCCACATATTAGGGAGAACGTACAATATGGTTTTTAACATGTTCTCCATTTCTGTCCAGTATCTTGAAAATCACAACATTGTTTTCTACAACTAAATTAATATTCCATATGTATGCCACATTTTCTTTATGTATTTATCTGTTGGTAGGCAGCTAGGCTGGTGCCCTACCTTGCATATTGTGAATTGTGCCACAGCATACCTCAGTATGCAGGTATCCCTGTAGTACACTGGGACTACCCTAGCATGGTCTAGCTGCATCAAATGCTAACCCTATTTTTTTTTTTACTTTTCTGAGGATTGTTTTACCAGTCCTCATTTCCAGAATTTTACATTGACAGTGAATATCCTCTTTCTCCTGAGAAGGGAATGCATTATGACATCACTAGCTTGTAATTCATGATACGTTTGTTTTTCTTTTCTCAGAATTCCATCATTCCTGGGCCGCCCTTCCTTTTTGGAGCCTGTTCAGTCCTGTTGGCTCTGCTTGTTGCCTTGTTTATTCCCGAACACACCAATTTAAGCTTACGGTCCAGCAGTTGGAGAAAGCACTGTGGCAGTCACAGCCATCCTCACAGTACGCAAGCCCCAGGGGAGGCCAAAGAACCTTTACTCCAGGATACAAATGTGTGATGACAGGAACCAGGAAGATGTTTCGATCAGCACCCAGGTCTTAGTTTTCACCTGTAGTTCTGGATGAACATTCCATTTCCATCTACAGTGTACTTTTAAGATTGTCTCAAGAAATTGCATGAATTCTGTGGGAACTAAAGGAAGAACTAAAAGAACTGGACGGTTTTCCAAAGATGTTATAATTTCTTTTGAAAAGAAACATTTTGTTTATTAGCACCAGTTTCTTGCCACTGAACTTTTATTATACATCCTTCAATTAAAAAGTATATATGTAACTTTTTAGATATTAGCATATATTTCTCTGCTACCATTTCCTGAAGGTGTTGAGCTTTAACTCTGTGCTGACTCTCAGTGAGACTGAGTAGGTATTATGATTGTGAACCTGTTTGTTTTTAACACTGTAAAATCCTGAGTCCAATTTTAATATTGTAAAATCTTGGGTCAAATAATTCAAAGCCTTAATGCAGATGCACTAAAATAAATGGTAAATGAATTGTTTGCATTAAACAGAAAATTTAAGAAAAATTGAACTAAATCTGAATCATGCTTCAAGCTTCTTTGCAGTAATTTTACTTTAAGCTTACTACTGTTTTTGAAGTGAGGAAATATTAGCCATTTATAATTTAAATTAGGGTGGTGAGAGCCCAGTAAACACAGGCTCAAATTTGTTCCCTTTATACCACTATTTTTTTTTTGTTGGTGTAATCATCAGAACCTCAACACTTGAATACATAATCTAAAAATTATATAGTACAGCTGGTAGCCTTGAAAATATCCATGTGATATCTATATGTAGATAAATATATATAGTGGCCTTTCAGGACTGTCACAGTAACACTTTATTTACAGAGCTAATGTCTGTCCTAAATTTTCAGGACCCTAGAAGAGAGCTTTATACAATTACCGATGTGAATTTCTCTAAAGTGTATATTTTTGTGTCCAGTTACATTATTTAAAAAAGTGTTACTTTGTAAAAAATGTACATAAAGTTTATTGTATAGTTTACACTGTTTTCATCTTGTGTGTGATTATTGCCTAATGCTTTTTAAACTTGGAACACTCACTGGTTAAATAAGGTCATAAAAATGTAAATACTCTGTTAATAAAATTAAATATTTTAATGATTTTTTATATAAAAAAGTCTTGATCTGTGAATCCCTACTCTAAGGCTGTTTTGGATTTATTTACCATAATTATTTTAAAGTAACAAAGCATCTCTGTTCAAATCGATTTCTTCTTCACTGTGAAATACTAGAAGCACAAAAGTGAAAGTGTATTATTATCATATCAGTCTGATTTCTTTCTTTCTTTCTTAGATTCTGCAACATTAGGGATTGATCACTTGCCAGCTAGGGAAGCGCTCAACCACTGAGTCACAACCTCAGCCCTTTTTATTGTCAGTCAGGGTCCTCCTCAATTGTTCAGGCATCTCAAAATGCTACCTGGTTCAACCTCCTGAGTAACTGGGTTTAAGATTTTCATGTCATAGTCGCAAAGTAATTTTAGTAACTTTAAAAACTAAATGAAATAACATTAAAGGGGGGCCAGGGAGATGGCTCAGTAGAATAAAAGGGCCTGAGTTCCACGCCCAGTTCCACAAAAAAGAAAACGAGAAAAAAAAATTTAGGGAAGATTTTGATTATTAAAACATGTACAACTATACACTGGAAAATGTTCAAAATTTTCAGAGGTAGGGCAAAGTCTACACATACAATCTTAATATAAAATAATTGCTAGCAAATAGAATAACTTCAAAATTCAATTGGTATATGGAAAGGCATGTCTCTGCATATACTTTTTAATTTTGGGGGGGTTTTTTTTTTTGTTTTTTTTTTGATACAGGGTCTTGCTGTGCAGTTCAGACTCATAGTGATCTTCCTGTCTCACCCTCCCCAGCACTGGAATTAAAAGCGTGTGCCACCATGCCTAGTTCCAGGGCCAGCATAGCATGTGGTACCGGAGAATAGACCATGCACTTGCCCTTTTTTTTTGTATAGCATCTCACTACACACAGCTTGGAGTTGTAGTGATCCTCCTGTGTTCAGCCTCCTCAGTGCTGGGATTAATTACAGGCCTGCACCACCATACCATCTTGGTGGCCGGCTCAGCGCACCCCGGGTTGGGGCCGGCGTGGAATGTGGTGCCAGGGATTGAACCCTAGTTCCTGTGCTTGCCTAAGCAGGCACTTAGTTCCCTGAACTATCTTACTGGCCTTTGCATACAATTTTTAAAGCTAGCAGTATGTCATATATCTCATCCAATCCACATCAGTGTTTTACGTATATGTGTATAAATCTACATCACAGACTATTTACAGCAACATGCATTCCCATGTAGCCAAGAGACTTCTTTGAAAAATATGTTCTTTCAAGTTATTGCAACTACTATGAGTATTGTAATACTTAAATAAGGAAAAGTCTTTGCACAATATTAGTTACTGAATTTTCTGATTAGATCCCTAATAAGGTAAGTGGCAATTACCAACAGTTTCAGAGTATTAAAAAGCAAAACAAAGGTTGTCTTAACATAAATGAAGGAATGTTGGTATATCATCTTGAAATGTTTTCTTTATGTAAAGTAACTGACTTTTTAAGCTATCACATAAGCATTAGCAGTTCACTAAAATTGATTTAGAGGATTCTCAAAGATAATGCTACTCTTATTGAGTGGCTGTCAATAAAAACAAAATGGGGCCCTGATTCTGTACGAATTTTAAAATTTTGTCCCAAGGACAATTTCTAATTAAAAGTTGTAGTACTTCATTAAGTAAACACTAATGAATCCAAGTTCAGATATAAAAATAAGTACAGTGATTACTCACGATACTATATGTGCTGCCAAAGCAAGCACGATAACCCTTACGCTAGAGTCTATATGGTTCCAATTTTTAAAACAAAATTCCACAGATAACTATGAAACCAATAAGGTTCCAAATTAAGAAGAAAAGTTAGATGAGTGTAAACTATTCAGAAAGCATTAAAATCCTGCAAACTTCAGCTCTAATCACACTTTATGCTGATTATATAAAAATAATTTGGATACTGTATAAGCATATAAAAAGTTAAGTTTCAAGGAAAGTACTTACGTTATTTGCTATGAAGGTTTAACTCACTCCAGTTACATGGGGTGGCATTAAGATTTACACTTTAATGTTCGGAAAATGGAGAATCTCAGATGCGACTTTCCCTCATAATTGTCAGGCGGCAACTTGAAAATGCATTATTAGCACTCTTTGGTTTCCATTTTCTGAGCAGATTTTCAGTATAATTAGAATATCCTTTATAAGAATTGGTAAACTCCTTAGTGAAATTCATGTTACTGTTACAGAGACCCAAAATAATCACTATTCTATCAATTCCCAGGACAGATTTGCTCCTGTATAGTAATCCTTGTGCTATTAATGATCTAAACAATCTTAACAGCAGCAGCTCAAGTAAACTTTGAAACTTCCCTGCGTAGGGTTGGACTTCTATTAATATTTTTAAACCACCTGAGTTTAAAATGGCAATAAATACATAAAATAACGCCAGAATTCTAACTGCTTGACAACTGTCCCGGGAAATAGGCTGAAGATGTGGAAGGGAGTGCTGTGGGTTTGGAAGAAGTCTGTAACATTCCCAGAGTGCCATCTTTCTGATGGTCTGCAAATGAGGACAAGAATGGTTACTATTACTATGTTTCTATACATTGAATTAAACCATGCTGTATAAAATCCAGTTCACACGTGTTTTCTCACCTGCATTAATAAATAGGTTCTGGCTGAGGCCACGTAAAGGAATGCTATCTTCTCTTTTCTTCAAGTATCTGGATTCCAGTCCTAAATTTTCACCACTTTGAAAGAAAAATAATGGTTTTTCCAAGTCTGATTTTATGAGTTACTTTTGAAAGCTTATGCAATACACGGACATTAAGTTGGATGTGTGTAGTCCAAGAAACCTGAGACTTACTGAGCACTGACATGTACTGAGCACTGACATGTTTACTAAATGTAGAAAACCACACAACCTCGTGTGATCGGTCACACTCAAAACATCAGTAAACTACAAACATACAAAGTTATCTTCAATCTATGTATATTAAGAAATGTAGATCAGTTTTCAGCTTAGGCTTAGGGTCCCATCCCTAAGGTACTTCATCATGTATGTGCAAATATTTCAAAATCTAAGACATCCAACTTGTATTCTATGTTAGCTGACTGGGCGGGCAGTGTGGCTCAGTGACAAGGCGCCTGCCTCCATGCTGACAGCTCTTGGGTTTGATCCTTGGGATGAAGAAAAATGTTTCACAGCTAAAATATGTGCGTTAGCTTGCTTCAGATCACATGCTTTACTAGTTTCCTAAGCAAATATAATTTATTGTACATACCTAGACTACCCTCCACAGTACAGACTAAAATAAGTGCTGTGGGAGAAGCACGGTTATCCAACTTTTAGAAACCACTAAAGTGAGACATGATTACAGTGTGGTTTGAGAGCATCATCACTTAGTTAATTCTGTTTCATCCTATACTTAAAATTTCTTTTTCCTTTAACCAAAAGCTCTCAAAAACTTTAGTGACTCAAATTGGCATTGTAATATAAATACGTGATATTTATCACATGAATAGACAATTTAAGTTAGAACAATATAATGTGAAAGTTCAAAAGAAAATGAACGTCTGTACTTCACCCCTTTCTACCAGTCATTCCTCCATTCTAAATCTATACAAGTGCTAACAATTTCCCTAGTAATATATCTGTAGTAAGTCACTAAAGGATCTCGCCAAATGGTATTATACCCTTAAAAATAAGGGCCAAGGAAACAGCTCAGTGGCATAAGCACCTGCTTGGCATGCACAAGGCCGCAAGTTCCATCCCCGGTACTGCAAACAAAACAACAAAACACTGAGCCACAATAAATTTTGGGGCTGGCGAGACAGTTCAGCAGACTAAAGTGCCTGCCTAGGCAAGTACAGGGACCTGGGTTTGATCCCCAGCACCAGATGCTGAGCCAGCCCTGGCCCCAGGGCAGACTGAGCCAACCAGAGGTGCACATCTGTAATCTCAGTGCTGGGGCCACTAAAAGCAGGAGGATCACCACGAATCCGAGCTGCATCGTGAGACCCTGTAACAACCTAATACGTAAAAAAAACACATGTTCTGTCCACTTACCAATCCCCTACAATGAGTGTAATTAATATATCCTGGAAATATGCACTAATAATTTTTTAAAAAATTAAATGACAAGTCTTCCCCAACTTGCTCTTCGTGATTTCAGTAAGTACAGACACTCCTAGTTTAATGACAGAATTCCATCTCCCAAGTAGGTCATTAATTTTATCAGTCACTAAATGAGAACTGTATAATATATATGTATTATATATCTATCTCACAATATTCACAACAAATCTCCAATTTGATGACTTTTATTTGCATTTGTTTTATTTTGTGTATTTTAACTCATATAGTGTTGTGTGCACCAGAATATAAAACTAGTACTGTGTGGTACAGTATCAACAAAACTTTACAGTATAAACTAGGTATACTGTACAAAAATGATGACGTTCTACACACACATACAGAACTGTAAAAATTCTTAAAGATAATCTTTAAAACTACAAGCATTACATCTTGTCAGTAGTTACTTACTTTTCCTTATCAGCTGAGCATGGAGCGCTGGCAGCTGCTCCTGGGTGAGCGTCCCCTAGGGAGGTACTTGGTTTTGCAAACTGCAAGTTAAAGTGAACCTGTGAGGAAGGAGCGTGCACAATGAGTGAGAATCCCGCTGTCACTTCACTTCTCTAATCGAGATGGGTGGCTACATTTTTATTTTGATAAGTTTAGACTAAAAATACAGCTACAGCATAAGCTTTTTTTTTTTTTTTTTTTTGAGACGAGGTCTCACTATATAGTTTAGGCTGTCCTTGAACTCACTATATAATCAACACTGGCCTCGAACTTGGGGCAATCCTGCCTGAGCCTCCCAAGTCCTAGGATTACAGGCGTGTACCACTCCCCCCAGCAAGTATACTCTTATTGTGAGTTAATAAAAATTGTCTTTCTTAGACAATTACTAGAGATCATTTTCCTGTCATGCAGCAACATGAGTAACACACAGTGATCTCTTAACCATTGAGAGAGGAAAGACAGAGAAGGGTGATGTGCCTACACCAACTTCCCACAATGGACGCAATCACTGTGTACTACAAACATGCACTAATAATACAAGTTAAAATTTTAAAACACGAACACTAATAGGTGAAGTGTGATAGTGTTAGAAGTCACTGAGTATCACAATACCTCTTTTATTTCATGTATTCTGAAAATGCTTCCCTTTTTAAGAACTTACAAAATAAGGTTTCAAAATGAGTGCTTTGAATTTTGAAATAGTCAAAAGTATCTATTTCAAGAATCTATTTCAAAATATAAACTGGTACATGAAGTACAGTAGTTCGTTTATTTATTGGAATTCACTATATAACCCAGGCTGGCTTCTAATTCATGGCAATCCTCCTGCCTCAGCCTGAGTGCTGGGATTTTCTTAATTTAGAATTTTAAACTAGTATCTGTTCTTGGTTATGAGTTTTTCCCCAAAATATATATGCTGTTTATGTAATAATTATGCCTGGATCCAGTTTAAAGTAATAATGTATTATGACTTTTACACCAGGATGGTAAAAGTCTAAACCAAAATCACCATACGGACGATGAAGAAAAATGGAAAAAAAGAAAAATGACCACTTCCATAGAGAAACAAAAGTTATCAGCAAACAGCATATATATTTTGGGTAAAAACTCATAACCAAGAACAGATACTAGTTTAAGTAAAATTCTAAATTAGGAAAATATATGTTCTACTTGGCCACTGGCATTCAGTAATATAAAGATAACATCTTCCTATGTCAACCTACATTTAACATAACAGAATTCCATAAAATAATTCTAACATACCTTAGAAAAAAATAAACATGCAAAAAGAGGGGACTTAAAAGAGAGGGGGAACAAAAGAGGGTAGAAAGATATGAATAAATCATCTAGTTTATGGTCACCAAAAATTAGAAAGTTGAGCAAAAATAGAACATTATCAGAAGGACTGAGCTCCGGAAGTCCGCCAGGGTCCTGGATGCTGCTGAGTGCTAGTCTCATGTGCAGACTAAAACTGCACAGGCCTGAGTGCTAGACTGGGTCTTACCTGTTCCTAAAGGCTCCTGTGCTGAACGCCTGATTCCCAGGGAGCGGTGCCCTCGGGAGGTTGCAGCACTCACCTGGATGCAGTAGGGCCTAGTTGCAAACTCCAGCAGTGCCCCACCCCTCAACCTAGCAGAAGAACGGGGGGTGGGGGGGGACCAACAGAGGTGGCAGAGAGCAAACCACAACTCCTGCTGCCACTGCACCCTGGTGGGTCCCCACAATGTTACTCTCACATCTTCTCTGAGCACACTGCTGCAGAAAGACTGCGAGCACCACAGTGAGTTGTGATTCCTGCTGTCACCTGTTAACAGGAAGCACCTGGGCCTCCAAAAGTGTCTGCTGAGAGGACACTGCTGGACCAGAGAAGCTGACATCAGCAGCCTGACAACAGCACCATCACCAAAAAGGGCACCACTCCCATGGGACAAAGAGCCACACAGGGTGCTGCGCCAACTGCGCTGTGTACGCTGTGCCTCACGCATGAGACCTGCAGGAACAGTGGGTCTCTGGCTCCAAAACAGGACCCACTGTACTCAAACTCTAGATCACAGCCAAAGAAGTCACAGATGACAGTGTCCACCTCCAGTCTCAGGACGGAAGTGCAGAACTGTGCAACAAATCAAAATCCAAAGACATCTCTTCAGAATGCTGTTTACTAATGCCATCACATAAAAACATACGGTTGAGACACATTCACTGTATCATATGCACCAATTTCAGCTAAGAAACACAGGAACTACAGAAAATAATTTATATGACATCTCCTTAAAATATAACTACCTGGTTACAGATTCCAAATACAGAGAAGTAGATGAAATAACTAAAAAAGTATTCAAAAGAATACATAATTTTTCAAAAGCTCCATAAGAGCCAAGTGAATACAGATAAACAGTTAAATGACAGACAGGTAGACAGACTTGGGGAAACCTATGTCAAAGACAAGGAGAAGAGGGCTAGTAATGTATCTGAGTGGCAAGTTACTTGGTAGAATGTGTTCAAGGGTCTTGGCTCAATCTCCTTACCACACAGACCAAACAACAACAGTAAACACCTTCTAAGTAGCAAAACTGAAGCAATTAATGACCACCAGAGAATAGCCTTATAAAACTTAAGGAAGCTCTACATCCAGAAGAGAAAGAACGCTAACTACTACCATGACTGCATGAGAACTTACTAGTAAGCAGAGAACTTACTAGAAGAGTAAATATACAAAAAGGAAACAGAAACTACCAAACCACAAAGATGAATAGGAGAAAGAAACAAAGAATATTCCGAAAAACTAAGAAAATCAACAAATTGATAGGTCCATACTTTTCCATAATAACTCTGAACATAAATTGCCCAACAATAACTGTTACAGTTTAAACCTAGAATGTCCCTGTAAAGCCTCATGTGTTCAGAGGTGATTTTAGAAAGTGACTGGATCACAGGGGTACTATACTCACCACTGAGAGTTCAGTAACTGAATGTGGTATCAAGTAGTGGACCCTGGTCAGAGGTGGTCACAGGGACAGGAGCTGGAAGAGTGAAATATCTCCATGGCTCCTCTCTTTGCTTTCTGCTTTCTAGCTGCTATGTGAGTAGCTTTCCTCCATCAGACCCTTTCAGCACACCCTTCCTGTCTTGGAGCTAGCTGACTACGTGTTGAAAACACAAGCTAAAGTAAGCCTATCTTCCTTAAAGTTGTGGGTGTCAAGTACTTTATATGAGTAATGAAAAGTGACAAAGACAGATATTGGTAGCAGGAGCGGGGTCACTGCAGACTATACCTGGCCACGTGGTTTAGAAGACTTTGGAACTTAATTATAGGAAGAGTTCAGAAAGGTTTGGAGAGGCTGGCTAGAGAAAGAGAATCTTATAAGCAGTGAGGGATGTAAGACACTGGTCTGGGCTTTGCGGACCAGAATGCCAACAGAAATGCATTCAAGTAGTAAGGTAAGTCTAAGGAGGTTTCAGGGGGAACAGGAACTTCATTAGAATCAATTCTGCAAGAAGATGCATAATTACCTCCCCTCCGGGGGTGGGGAGGCACGTTGAGACCACGACTGAGACTGGGCGCAGTGGCATGCGCCTGTAATTCCAGCACTTGGGAGGCTGAAAACAGGAGACTCACTATGACAATCACTACGTATGATCCATGTAGTGAGACCCTGTACTAAATACATTTTAAAAAAAAAGAAGCTGCATAATGATTATAAATCTATATGCACCTAATGTCAGACCATACAGTTTTATTACACAAATACCATTAGTACTATACAAGAGAAGGGCAAGCTCCAACATAATAGTAGTAAATTTCAATAACCCAATTCCCACCAATGGATAAACCGTAAGAATTTATTATAGATGAAATGGATTTATTATAGATCAATGGATTTAATTGTACTTTTAACTGTACTTAATAGTTACAGATTATATATATTCTTCTCATTCGTAAATGGAACTTCTTAGACTAGGTATTTCAGGCCACAAAACAAGTCTTAGCAAATTCACAAAAACTGAATTAATTTCTTGTTTTTTTTCTTCACAAGGGAATAAAACTAAATATCAATAACAAGAGCAATGACAGAAATCATATAAATGTACAGACTGAACAAACCAATTTCAAATAAGCTGAATTAAGGAATTCAGAAAATATAAAAATTTCTTGAATACAAATAAAAATACAACATACCGAAATCTGTGGCATGCAATCAAATAAGTTAATTATACATCTCAAGAACATAGAAAAGCAAGAACCAAATAAAAAATTAGTGAAAGAAATGGACAATGAAGATCAAAGCAAAAATAAGTGAGACTGACTCCAGAAGAGCAACACAAAGAATCAATGAAACAGAGTTGGATTGTTGCAAAGAAAAAAACAAAACGAAACAAAAACCCCTTTAGCTAGATCAAAAGAGTGGGACGAGGGAATAAGTCCAAGGGCCACTAGGGTTTGTTTTTTAGAACAATGTGTTCATGAAATGGGTGAATTCCATATCTGATCTACCACAACTGAGCCCTAAGGTGCAATAGCCTAAGCAGATTAATAATGAGTGATACAGTGATTAAAGAATCCCCGGCAAAGATATGCACCAAGTATCAAATATTACCAAATATAAGAGAACAACTGTTTCTCAAAGTATTCCACAGAACTTAAAGAAAAAGAGCTTTTCTAAGATCATTCCGGGACACCAGAAATATAGTTACCAAAATGACAAGGGTACAACAACAAGAGAAAACCACAGACCAACATCCCTGCTAAATATGCATAAAAAATCTTTTAAAAATCCCAACAGCTATTCCCACCTAGGTATCTTCCAAAATTTAAAATTACATTACAGGTTACATGAATACTCTTGGTTATAGTAGCACAATTTATAATAGCTAGATCTCAGAAACAGAAAAGGAAAAAAATATGATAATTATACATAATGGAGTATTACAATGCCATAAAGAAAAATAAACGAGGCATTTGTAGGTAAATGGATACAACTTGAGAACATAATACTAAGTGAAATAAGTTAAGACTTTATTTTCTTAGTTTTTAAAATTTATTTTGTTCAGGGTCTCACTA